AAAGAAAAAGAAAAAGGAGAACCTAGAACCAAAGAAGCTCCAGGAACCACATACTCAAGAGTCCTTTAGCTAGATTGACAGACAAAAGGATCAAGGACAAGGTGAAGAAATTGTAGGGTCAGAACATTGGGCACTGGAACCTAAGGATTTTGTGTCTTCCCTTTTCCTGCCTGTGTGCAGCTATATCTAGGCACAGAGAAGGAAACTGGAGAACTAGACAAGCACCCTAACACCCTCAGAGCTAGACACTCTGGAGCTTGTTCTTATTCTAGAGAATCACAAAGGGAGAAGAACCAGGACAAATCTTGAAATTTTGCATATGGCAGGCAATGAAGTAAGAGAGTGTAAACCCAACTAGATAGTGGAGAAACTACATGGTAGTGGGGGGCTGGGGGTAGGAAGCCTAGTGTTGGTGGCTGTATCTAAAACAAAGGAAGAAGCATCCCTGACAAACTTCACAGGGGCTTCAATGCCTCCCTGACCACAAAACAAGGATCAACACTGAACTTTTAAATCGTGCCTGATCCTTGGCTTGTAGTCCTTGCTGGGGCCAAGATGTTGGGGTATGTCCACACACTTAACACTGTTTGTTCTGAAGGCAAGAAGAACAACAGAAAACTCTACCCAAGGACATTCCCTGGAGACTCCAAGAAGCAGATCAGCTATAAGGAATTAATGGAATCTAGCAACTGTCTGAAGGTACGTCGTGCTCCTGGCTCCTTATGCTTTTTCTCTGCTAGGCCCTCTGGTTTACTTAATTTCTATGCCCTTCATATATATGGCTTATTTGTGAGTCTACAAGCAACATGTTAGTGGGGGCATTTCTGTGCATGTTGTAAACATTTTTACTGTATGCCTTCTATAATCCATTATCTTGTCGTGACAAGGCATCTTTTAAATTTTGGAAAATGTTTTCAAATAGTCATTAACTATTTACATTCTCCACAATAATATAGGAAAATGCTTGTTTCCCCTTATTTTAAAAACAGACAGTATAAAGAAATTGTAAATTATTTATTGCATAGATTGAAAAAATATCAGTTAGTATTAAAATTTCCCTTCATCATTATCATTCCTGAGCTTGTGAATCTCTGCATATGTACAATGTGTATTTATCTCTACAGTTAAATGTTATGTCTTGTCTTTTACCAGTTTTATTTTTCATATTGATTTTTTAGAAATGCTAATGTAGTTCTTATTTTTTCTACTATTTATTGCATTAGTGGCTCATTCTTAGTCCTAACTGCCTGTCGGTTTGTCATACTGTGGTGGTTTGCGTGTTGCTGTAAGGCTAGAAGCTATCCCACTGGTATTCAAATACCAGCAGGGTCACCTATGGTGGACAGGTTTCAGTGGGGCTTCCAGACTGAGACAGACTGGGAAAAGGATGGGGCCACCCACTTCTCAAAACATTGGTCACTGAAAACCTTATTAATAGCAGTGAGACACTGTCTGGTATGTTACTGAAAACTTTAAGAACAGCAGTGAAACAGTCAGGTGTAGTGCTGAAAAGATGAGCTCCTCAGGGTGGAAGGCACTCAGAATACAAGTGGGGAATAGCTGCCTCATCAAAGTAGAATCGACCCTAATGATGGGCATGGAATAAAGCTTTAAGGTCCTTCTTTTGCTGGTGGGGCATGACTCAAAAAGGGAAAAAAGGCCTGTAAACATTCATTAGTAATCAGAACATGGAATGTATGAAGATGAACTAGGAAAACTGAAAATTGTCAAAAATGAAATGGAACTCAAATAGATCAATATCCTAAGCATTAGTGAGCTGAAAGGGACTGGTATTGACCATTTTGAATCAGGCAATCATGGGCTCTATTATGCTGTGAATAAAAAATTGAAGAATAATGCCATCACATTCATCATCAAAAAGATCATTTCAAGATCTATCCTGAAGTACAATGTTGTGAGTGACAGGATTATATCCATATGCTTACAAGACCAGTTAGTACTGCTATTCAAGTTTACACCAAGTACTAAATCCCAAGATGAAGAAATTGAAGATTTTTACCAATTCCTGCCATTTGAAATTGACCAAACATGCCATCCAGATGTATTGATAATTACTGGTGGTTGGAATGTGACAGTTGGAAGCAAAGAAGAAGCTTGGGCAGTTGGAAAATATGGCCTTAGTGTTAGGAATGATGCCATAGATCTCATGATAGAATTTTGGAAGAACAACTATTCATTGCAAATACCTTTTTTCAACAACATAAATGACAGCTATACACATGGACCTTCTTCAGATGCACATGGACTACATAGATGGACTACATCTGTGGAAAGAGGCAATGGAGAAGCTAAATATCATCAGTCGAAACAAGACCAGGAACAGACTGTGGAACAGACAATCAATTGCTCCTATGCAAGTTCAAGATGAAGCTGAAGAGAATTGAAACAAGTCCACAAGAGCCAAAACAACACCTGGATTCCATCCCATCTGAATTTAGAGACTATCTGAAGAATAGATTTGAACCATTGAACGCCTATGGCTGAAGACTGTATGAGTTGTGGTATGACATCAAAAACATCATACAGGAAGAAAGCCAAGCCAATTAAAAAGAAAAGACCAAAATGGATGTCAGAAGAGACTCTGAAACTTGCTACAGGAAGTAGCTAAAACAAAAGGAAGAAATGATGTAATAAAACAGTCGAACAGGAGATTTCAAAGGGCACTTCAAGAAGACTAAGTATAATAAAATGTGCAAAGAGTTAGAAAACACAAATGGAAGAACATGCTCAGTATATGTCAAGCTGAAAGAACTGATGAAAAACTTCAAGACTCGAATTGCAGTATTGAAGAATTCTATGGGTAAAATATTGAATGATGCTAGAAGCATCAAAAGAAGAGGGAAAGAATACACAGTCACTGTACCAAAAAGAATTCGTTCGACATTCAAACATTTTAGGAGGTAGAATAAGATAAAGAAACAATGCTACTGAGGAAGTCTAAGCTGAATTTGTTTCAACAAAAGGATGCAGTGTTGGAGGTACTTACTGGTTTATGCCAAGAAGTTTGGAAATCAGCTCCATGACCAACTTACTGGAAGAGATCCATATTTGTGCCCATTTCAAAGAAGGGTAATACAACAGAATGTGGAAATTATTGAACAATATCATTAATATCAGATGCAAGAAAAATTTTGCTGAAGATAATTCAAAAATGGTTGCAGCAATTTAATGACAGGAAACTTCTAGAAATTTAAGGTGGATTCAGAAGAGGATATGCAATGGGAGATATCGTTGCTGATGTCAGATGGATCTTGGCTGAAAGCAAAGAATAGCAGAAACTTGTGATAGTAGGTTGTGTGTCAACTTGGCTGGGACATGATTTTGAGTGGCTGGGAAGCCTGATGTAGTTATTCCTCAGGATAAAATTGGTAATGAATTCCATGGTGGAATCTACAGTGAGCAGCTAACCAGCTGCCTTCGGGGTGTAGACTGCATCCAGGATATAAGTAGGAGTTTTGAGAAAGGTCTTGAACTTCTGCACATCTGGATCTTGCATTTACCCATCTTCACCTCAGTGGCCTGCCACATTGTCTACCCATCTTGGGACTGTTTCTGGAATTGAACTAGTGGCCTATCATGTTGCTTGCTGATCTTGAGACTGTGTCATTATACTTGTTTACCTTGGGTTTGTCAGCCTCAGCAGCCAGCGACTGCCTCAATTAATAGATGCTTCCACCTCCAGTGGGCTGGGAACAAGAGGCAGAGCCAAAGCCCCAGGTCAAGGGGCCCTCACCCATCACCTGGAGCTTGCACTTTGAACTCAGACTTCTGGCCTCCTAAACTTTAAGATAATAAATCTCTGTTTTTTAAAGCCATCCACTTGTGATATTTCTGTTACAAAGGATGAGAGAATGAAGACAGATATTTACCATGTTTTATTGACTATGAAAAGTCATTTGATTGTGTCTATCATAATAAATTATCAATAACATTGCAAAGAAAGAAAATTCCATAACAATTATTTGTGCTCATGAGAACTCTGTACATAGACCAAGAAGCAGTCATTTGAACAGAACAAGGGGATACTGGATGGTTGAAAATCAGGAGGAATGTGCCTCAGGATTGCATCCTTTTGCTTATTCAGTCCTGTCAGAATCAGGATTGGAGGAAGACTCTAACAACCTGTGATATGCGAATGACACAGCCTTCTTTGCTGAACATGAAGATGGCTTGAAGCACTTACTGGAGAAGATCAAAGATGACAGTCTTCAGTGTGCAATGATGAGCATACTGACTGTTTGCATAGCAAGTATTATGAGGATGGCACAGCACTGGGCAGTGTTTCATTCTGTTGTACACAGGGCCACAATGAGTAGGAGCCAACTTGATAGCACCTAAAGACTTCCTTATCATTTTCATATATGTTCTATTTGGATATGATAATATATCTTAGGTCTTTCCTTTAAACTGTTTGGGAATTCAGACTCTATTAGAGGTGCCAGAGAGACCCTGAAGGTAACTAATTTGAGATTGGTTTTTCCACAGCATCCCCCCAGAACAGCACCTGTCCACACAACCAAGAAGAGATCTGTGCCAGTCTCTATTCTCACAACTGAGCCACCATCAAGTCATCTGACATGAGAGGCTTTTGCACTACACCATCTCTCATCAAAAGTCCTGTGGTGAGTTCCTTCCTCTCACCTCATGGCCCAGCCAAAGGACATAAAGAATTTGCTGAATCCCTCCATTCTTCTCTCAAGAGCTCTACCCTCATTGCCAAGACAACCAACTGGGAGGCTTGTTCCTATGATGTTCCCCAGTCTCTTACCAAGACACATACTCTAGGCAACATCTTCCATTCTCAAGCACAAGCCAAGCGTACACATGTAGATTCAAAGCCTAGCCCACAACCTGCTACACATAGATTGGGCCAGAACTCCAACCTTGGCATCCAGACACCAGGCAAAAGGTTGTGCCAGGTTCCCACCCAGCCTTCCAAGAATCTCCAGAAAATGCCAAGACTTAGGTCCTTCCAGATCCCCCAATGAAGACTAATGTACCTTACCAGGGTGTTGTCCAGACTCTACAGCTTGCCCGCAGTACAAATAGACTGGACTTAAAGAGGCACCTCAAGTGCTCACTATGGCACCTGTGCTGGCTCCACACAACAGACCTCACCTGAGTATCATTTAAGCCTGTGATGTCCATCTACCTCCACAGCTCAACCATGATCCAGACAATCTCCTTGGAAATGTCTTCATCAGATTGGAAAATGAACAGCAGAGCTCCAGTTTCAGAATAGCTGCCACCTCAGTCTCACCTAAGAAGCCTACACATCCTGGTCAGAGCCTTCATGTCCTCCAGGATTCTGAGCCACGGTGTCCCCATGACCCAGGCAGTCTCCTCTATGAGGACCTTATGGTTTCCTCCTCTGAGGAGACTGCCAGGGAGAGAGACCCTCCATGTCTGGGAAGGCAGCCTCCAGCCTTACATGTTGTTCTGGTCACCTAGTGCTGCTCTGACAAGAATATACTACAAATGGGATAGCCTTAACAAACAGGAGTTTATTCTTTTACAGTAGGGAGACTCTGAGGAACAAATAAGAACAACAGAACCAGAATATGTGTTGTAATGATCATTCCACGTGATTCAGATATATATTAAAGTGTAATAACTATTGGAATCACCTGGTGAACATTAAGTAATATTGATATCTTGGTCTTATCACCAGATATTTC